AAAAAAAAAAAAAAAAGAAAAATAAAAGAAAACAAAAGAAGCATGTGAACTTTCGAACTTTGGTCTCCTACACATCTCTAACAAATGGTGATGGGGCTTTTTATGAGCAGACGGGCATATCGTAGAGGAACGGTTCAGAGCAAGGGCTTTTAGGGTCAGACTTGGGCTTGAGTGCCAGCTTCACAGTCAGCTGTGACCTGAGAAAGGGGACTAGTGAGCCCTTCCCAGACGCTTTAGAGAATAATGGTAGAATAGTGGCCCTCACATGGCTAAGTGTGTATGGCTAATATAATAAGACAAGAAGTCTTATTATATTAGGTATTCCCTAGCTGTATGTTTTATATCAGTTAAATGCTGATATCATGTAGAATAATGTGTAGGTATAAAGGAACGTAATGGTGCCTTTTTATTTTACAGGGTTCTTGAAGCTCTTGTGATTAACAATGGCAGGAAAATCATCACTTTTTAAAGTAATTCTCCTTGGAGATGGTGGAGTTGGGAAGAGTTCACTTATGAACAGATATGTAACTAATAAGTTTGATACCCAGCTCTTCCATACAATAGGTGTGGAATTTTTAAATAAAGATTTGGAAGTGGATGGACATTTTGTTACCATGCAGATTTGGGACACGGCAGGTCAGGAGCGATTCCGAAGCCTGAGGACGCCATTTTACAGAGGTTCTGACTGCTGCCTGCTTACTTTTAGTGTCGACGATTCACAAAGCTTCCAGAACTTAAGTAACTGGAAGAAAGAATTCATATATTACGCAGATGTGAAAGAGCCTGAGAGCTTTCCTTTTGTAATTCTGGGAAACAAGATTGACATAAGCGAACGGCAGGTGTCTACAGAAGAAGCCCAAGCTTGGTGCAGGGACAACGGCGACTATCCTTACTTTGAAACAAGTGCAAAAGATGCCACAAATGTGGCAGCAGCCTTTGAGGAAGCGGTTCGAAGAGTTCTTGCTACCGAGGATAGGTCAGATCACTTGATTCAGACAGACACAGTCAACCTTCACCGAAAGCCCAAGCCTAGCTCATCTTGCTGTTGATTGTTAGATTGCTGATGCATTCTAATCAACTCACACATATACACAAAATCAACATGGGGATGGAGAAGAGAATTAGCGTTTGCAGCAGTGTATCATCTACTAATAAAATTATATTGCTGCTTCATTAGTTGGTGGGAAAGGGGACACATCTACTCATGGAGGAATATATTTACTCAATAATGGCACCTTCCATTTATAAATTGTAACGGTTGTCAATAACGTTTCTTTAATTTAAATACGTAAGTTGCAGAGCTAATAAATGAGATGACCAAGACTTTAGTGATAATTAAAATAAGAAACCTGACTATTCTAGAAGTTATACTTGGATTTTTTTTCCTGGGAAAATGGAGAACTACTTTTATATGTGTATGTTTTTATGCAATTAGCATTGTATTCTTGGTTCAGGGAAATAATTTCCTAAAGCAATAATGTTAGATATTAAAGATTAAAATCTAATGTATTTGCGATGCATTGTTAATTTACTTCTTCATTCTCTTCAAAATGATTTAACCATTTCTATTTTCATTCTACATATTAGAATTACTCTCACTAGTAATTTGTCATTTGTGTGCCATTCATGTGTCCCCACCTCCATAAATCATGTTCCATAGTCTCAGGTGGAGGGCAGGCCCCCAGAGGTAAAAGAGTTACTTCATACAGTCTGTCGTACATCCAGCTAGATTCAAACTGTCTATGAATGGAAAGCTTTCCATAGATAAGAGTTCAGTTTTAAGAAAAAGGCTAACTACTGAACTTGGAGAACAGACAAATGTGCATTTGATAACTGATGTAACAATTACAATGTACTGTGTGGAAGATACAAAATTACAATTTGTTAATGGACTACTTAATATTTTTGTTACTTTCTTTACTTTTGGGAAAAGTCTCCTAGTTGAAGTTAAAACATTCCTTTTTAACAGAAGACACAGCTAACTTTATCACTCTCAGAGGAAATACTAAGAAGGCTTGTACTTTGTGAGAGTAAATGAAGACATCTTTATTTGGCCATGTATTTACTTAGTGTCTTCTCTATCATTGAATGTTGTTTAGTGATTTGTTCTCAAGGAGATTTTTTGTTCCAAAAAGACTTGCTGCAGTGATTAGATTTGATAAAGGAAATTGTGGTCTTTTGTGGATGAAGCTCATATGCTGTGTGGTTGATGAGTGTGTGATTCTGTGGAGCCTAACCAAAGCCTAGGCTGAGTGTGGATGAGACCCTCAACTGGGGACTGTTGGGGTCATCAAAGGACATGCTGGGTGAGGGGAGCTGGCTGTCATGTAGTGAGGGGGGACTTTGAAAAATTAGGTTGATATATTTCCCTGACCCCACCCATTAGAAACCAATGAGAAAACATTCTAGTAAGCTAAGCTTTTGAGTATAATGTCCTAACATAAGGGACGATTTTGCCATCTGGTAGCATTCTACAGAAAATAACAGAAGATAGTTGGAGAACAAAGCAGGTGTTAAGTGTGGCAGCAGGAGTGGTAAGAAGCAGCTGCAGAGCCTACTAGACAGAAGCAGCATAGATCATGCTCTGCAGTCTGGGGGCGGGGGCGGGGAGGGGTGCAGCATGCGGGGTGTGGGTCCCAGTGCTTTAAGAGTTGCTCCATATGGTCTGTCATAGATCCAGCTAGGTTCAAGCTATGAATGGAAAGGCTTTTGAGAGTAGATAGTTTTTGTTTTTTGTTTTTTGAGGTAGAGTCTTGATCTGTTGCCCATGCTGGAGTACAGTGGCACAATCTCGGCTCACTGCAACCTCCGCCTCCCAGGTTCAAGCAATTCTCCTGCCTCAGACTTCCCGGGTAGCTGGGACTATAGGCGCATGCTGCCACACCCGGCTAATGTTTTGTATTTTAGTAGAGATGGAATTTTACTGTGTTGCCCAGGCTGGTCGAGAACTCCTGAGCCACTAGGCCCAGTCGTCTTTTTTTGAGATAGAGTCTCACTCTGCCACCCAGGCTAGAGTGCAGTGGCATGATTTCGGCTCACTGCAATCTTTGCCTCCTGGGTTCAAGTGATTCTCCTGCCTCCGCCTCCCAAGTAGCTGGGATTACAGGCGCCCGCCACCACGCCCGGCTAATTTTTTATATTTTTGGTAGAGACGGGGTTTCACCATGTTGGCCAAGCTGGTCTTGAACTCCTGACCACAAGAGATCCGCCGTGGCCTCCCGAAGTGCTGGATTACAGGTGTGAGCCACCACCTCCAGCCAGAGATACAGTTCAGTTTTAAGAAAAAAGGCAAACTACTGAACTTGGAGAAGAAACAAATGTGCACTTGATAACTGATGTAACAATTACGGTGTGCTGTGTGGAGGATACAAAATTACAGTTCCATTAACGGACTACATGTTTTTGTTACTTTTCACCCTTGGAGATAGTTTCCTAGTTGAAGTTAAAAAGATTCCTACTGTTCCTTGTCTTAGAAGAAAACTTTTTTTTGTTTCTGTACAAACTTAAGTTTTCACTTTAATATGACACCACCATGTAAGTTCTCTCACAATATTCGTGTCTTGTAGAGTCATAAAGTGTTAAATAGAAAAACACACCAGTGTGGTACCCAGTGAAAGGTGGTGTCTAGAGAGTCAGTGGTTTCTGGAACTCTGGACTGTCAACCAGGAAGTGTTGAAGTTACTGAAAAATTAAAGAGCACGGGTAACAGCATGGGCAGAGCAGAGATTGAGGCGATCTATGTCCATGACAAAGGAAGCACCCTAGGAAGCTTCCAGCTATAGCAAGAGGACAAAACTCAGTGTACATTTTATCTGGATCACTTTTGGAGCACTAAAGCAGAACCAACTTTGTGCTAGCATACATGTACTCAGGAGAGCCTGATTTTAAGACTGACTTCACCCCACTGCTCTTGTGTTCCAGAACCGTCAAGGGACCTCACCTACCAGATCCAAGCTTTGCCAGCTTAGCTTTCCTCGTGATCATCTCCTATATGTCAGCTGTCAGTTCTACCCACATGCCCCACTAGTCTTCTCCACACCTTCACGCCTGCAATGCTTTCCTGTGCAGCCTACCTTGGAGGTCCCCCTCAATGCTCCACTTCCCTTTCAGCTCCTTCAAAGACTCAGTCACACATGAATTTTGGCATTTTAGTAATATATACTCATAGGAAGTATGTGAGTGTATTACTACCTCACCTTCACCAGCCTGGAGAAAAGGCTATTTTCAGGCTGTTGTGCAGCTGAGCCAAGTCTTCCCACTGTCACTCACCCTGCTGCTCTTGGCTGGTTGTCATCACAGCCTTCTGGATGATATGTTCATTGAGGGGGGGGCCAACCGTATACAAAAAAATACGGGTTTGCTGAAATTACTCCTAGATTTCTAGATGAGTATGTAGCCTTTTCTGCTCCCAAAGCTCTGGCATCTAGTTTGAGTCAATCATCTGAGCTCTGTATAACAGGTGAAGATATCATATTAGTTTGCACACTATCAATAGGGGAAATGGAGTGAAAACAGTTGTGGTGGGCGGCACTTTAAAAATGGTTATTAAACTACCACAGTCTTGAACAAACATCTTTATTTAAGAAATCAAATAAATAGGGTAAAGATGATGGTAGCAATTTCACAAGGATACAAGATAAAGCTTAGAATTGCTCAAAAGTTAGTCAGAATGGAACAAAATTGTTCATATGCTCCCAATTAGCAAAGGTTGTATTACTTGCTTTTCAATGGACATTTACTATTTTACAGTAAGATCTACTTACAGGAACAAGGAGACCATTCCCAGCCCCCTCTGGTGTATCATCTAAAAGTCTGAGACAAATGTTAATGTAATCCAAGCTTTTCTTTGACAACAATCCTAAAAATTGCCTTACAACTTTTTGTAAGTACTGGTATCAACAGTTTGAGGGAAAGGAAATACAAGAATATAAAGTGACAGAAACAATGAACTTCACTGTGGCCTGCAACTGCTCCCATCCTCTTATTCTACAAACATGGATCCAGGTTCTCACATTATTGCAGGATCACTATTCCTAGCCTCTGGCAGAAGCAGACATGTGACACTTAGCACTGCACAAGTGTTTCTTTGGCTTCTTGAGTAGTGCTGTGTATACTGCCTATACATTTTTATAACATCTCTAAATGTATAAATAAATTAACATTTATTATGTGCTATCACATTTCATTCCCAACTGCAGAATATTTTAGTTTTAAATATTTAGTTTTCAATCTATCTACAAAATCTTGACTATGACATTTGTTTTGAGATTGTTACATTAAGATCAACCTATCTGGGCTGGGTATGGTGGCTGACACGGGTAATCCCAGCACTCTGGGAGGCTGAGGCAGGAGAATCGCTTAGAGTCGGAAGGCAAAGGTTGCAGAGGGCAAAGCGTCATTGCACTCCAGCCTGGGCAACAGAGCGAAACTCCATCTCAAAAAAGCAAAAGATCAACCTATCTGAATTGGGCAAGTCAAAAGCTTATTCCCAATTTTTAAATAAAAATACTTATTTTTGATAACGAACTCTTTATAAATAACACTGTTCACAAGGAAATACCAATTGATACATGATATGAGACAGAATGTACGATTTTTAAATATAAAAGGAATTTCATTAGGTTTAGATCAGCTGAGACTACACAAAAGTTTTCCAGGCTATTTAATCAAGTAACTTACAATGCACACATTCCTGAGTATACACCATTGTGGTGACATCATTTGTTTCAGAATTTCCTGCATTCAGCTTAAAAGGTGCTTCTTCCCAAGAAACTGCACTTTTCTGTCAAACGCACTTGATCGAATAGGAGAATTGGGTTCATAAAAAGGATTCATTGAAAACTAGGAAAGAAGAAAGTATTAGTCAAGCAAAAAAGCTGACAAACCATAGGTCTCTGGAAGGAAATAATTTTAAAGTTTTAAATTAAAAACCATCAAAGACATTCAAAAGTCTAAAGACCACATTTTGAAGTTTCATTGAAAATGCTGCATTGTTAAATACTAACATCCTCTTAAGGAAATTTTTATTTTGGTGTTTTGGTTTTGAGAAGTACCTGTGGCAAAACTAATAGCAGTATGATAAATGTTGCTTGTGTAAGTTAACATTCAGGATTTACCCTGTGTGTGAAATACTCATATTTGTTATAAATAAATGGATTAATCCGTATGGCCCTTTGGCTACATAAAGCAAAAAAGTCTGCCATAAGCTCAGAATTCAGAAAAAGCTACTTGTGTGGTAATCTTTTAACAATCAGGTTTTTAATACTCTCCTTTAACACAAAGCTGCTAAATGATCAGCTTCTCAGCCAAAGTAATCAGCGTATCATAACACGGGAGAGAAAATTATTAAATGGAATCACTCATGAGGAAAGGCATTGCTGATTTTTATACATTAATCACTTGACATTGTTCATCTTTATAAGAGGGCTAAATATTACCTACTACTTCTGACTAGGAGTATTGTTAAATTTTATTACTGTGCCGATATGCAAGAAATCCTGTCCAAATATAGAACTTTTTTTTTTTTTTTTTTTTTTTTTTTTTTTTTTTTTTTTTTTTTTTTTTTTTTTTGTTACTCAGGCTGGAGTGCAATGGCGCGATCTCGGCTCACCGCAACCTCTGCCTCCTGGGTTCAAGCAATTCTCCTGCCTCAGCCTCCTGAGTAGCTGGGACTACAGGCACCCGCTGCCACACCCAGCTAATTTTTGTATTTTTAGTAGAGACGGGGTTTCACCATGTTGACCAGGATGGTCTCGATCTCTTGACCTCGTGATCCACCCGCCTCGGCCTCCCAAAGTGCTGGGATTACAGGCTTGAGCCACCGCGCCCGGCCGAGATCAAATATAGAACTTTTAAATTATTAAAAACATACTGGCTGGGCGTGGTGGCTCATGCGTGTAATCCCAGCACTTTGGGAGGCTGAGGTGGGCAGATCACCTGAGGTCAGGAGTTCGAGACCTGCCTGGCCAACATGGTGAAACCCTGTCTCTACTAAAAGTACAAAAATTAGCTGGGTGTAGTGGCACACACCTGTAGTCCCAGCTACTTGGGAGGCTGAGGCAGGAGAATCGCTTGAACCTGGGAGGCAGAGGTTGCAGTTAGCTGAGATCATGCCACAGCATTCCAGCCTGGGTGACAGAGCAAGACTGTCTCCAAAACAAAACAAAACATACTGTTGTTAGTACTGCAGTGTAACCGTGACGTCCTATCACTATCTTATTTTTCAAGATCAAGAAATGCAAGTGGTACCATTCTTCTTGAGTGGCTAATTGATCATATAAAAATCACTTCCTGCCAGTTTGTAATCTCTATTAATTGCACTGTAACTTATTTGTAAAGTAGATGGAAAGATTTTAGATTAAATTATGAAGTAATTTTCCCTTATATAGGCTGCTTCCTTGCTCTCTTTAGGGATCCCTAATAAAATCAGCTATGAGCACCAAAAGGTGAAGAATGAAACCAATTTACCTTCACAGTCATCTAATGATAACTATCATGAGTTGTGTTCCTAAATACATATTTACTTGGCTGTGAAGACTTACCTGCAGAGGGAATTGCCAGAGATAGTTCTAATGGGGGAAAGCTAGTCTGAAAGGCAAACTGCAGCCTAAGCGAGTTAACTGCAGTTAGGCCAGTTTCCTGACAAACGTCGAATCCTTTCTTTATCATCAGATTTTAAAAATTATAGAACATACCATACCTTTATATATAAATCATAAACATCAGTAAAGAAGTTCTTTATTCCATCTTCTTGTCTTATGTCATGAAGCATAATAAATGTCATAATAAATTATGTGACATAACTAAGACATAATCTTTCTTAGAAATGAAAAAAAGCAACCAGTTCATTGATACAATATTCTTCAAATCAGTCACATGCAGTATATTTGTGATGGAAAAGTTGAATACATAAACTGGGTTTAAAATTAGCTTAGTTTTATCATAAAGAGAACACAGGCTTTCAGAGTTAGAAAATTATAACATAAAGTAAAATCACCCTTGAAATGGTTCAGATAAACTTTTTTTATGCATGAGACTGTTTTAAAATTCGCTGTTAAACAAAATGTTTTCCCCCACTAAGAAAAGATAAGTAGCCCCATAAATGGAAACTTTTACATTTTCACCTGACTGTGAAGTCTACAAACTCAGAGCCTGGCATCTGTTCATGTTGTTCTAGTTTGTGAACCCAAACTTTAGTTATCTTTACTAAAAAGGTAAGGATATGCCCCGCAGTGACAAATGCTGACACAAACCACTCGTTGAACTTGTCCACCGTTTTCAAGTACATATTGTTCGACAGCCACATGTTCTCATCTACAAGGTCGAGAGCAGCATGAGCTATGAACTGGTTCAGATGACGATGGTCGTCCTAGATGACGGTGTGAACAACCACAGATTAACATTTCCATATGGCATCAAGAATGCTGACATTTCATTCTGTAAATTCTATAGATGGTTTTCTTGCGGAGATAAAACAGTTTGTTTTTACTTTGTTCATTATTGTCGTGAGACTTATAAAAGATGTGTTTTCATATTCTATTTTTAAATTTGATATCTAAATCTCAAAGAACAGAAACAGCCAATTAATAAATGAAATGTGTATATAGATGATTTATAGAAAATCAATTAATGAAAATCTTTTCCAGAGAAATTTTTTTTTCTTGTTTCAAGAAGGATGTTACCAAATTCTGTAACCATTTAAACATTAAAAAAAAAAAAAGGATACTATGTTTAAAAAACAAGATCCTGTGAAGAAGAGGTGCTATTCATACCAGGCCTCAAGGTCTGGGAGGAGGCCGATAGGGCCTGGCTTCCTGCACAGCAGCACCAGGTAAGCAGTAGAGAGAGTTGAAATAGCACTTGTAACAGCCTGCCAGAGGCCTCTTTCCAGTGCATAGAGCTTACATGACAGCAGGACCTGGGAGTAGTGGGAGGTGATGCTCAGCCCAGCTGTGAGCAGTTGCCTGTGTCAACAGCAGGACACAGTCCTGTCAGAGCTGGGAGTGTCCTTTCCCTGGGCTGAAATGGCTTCAGTGAACAGAAGGTGGGACTGTCTGACCATAATGCAAAGACGGAATTCAAAACTTGGAATTCAGTCTTACTCCAATGTAATTGTTTCTTTGAAAATACATTTTTTGGCCAGGCATGATGGCTCACACCTGTAATCCTAGCAATTTGGGAGGCCAAGGTGGGCGGATCACCTGAGGTCAGGGGTTTGAGACCAGCCTGGCCAATGTGGTGAAACCCCATTTTTTATTTTTTTTTTGTGAAACCCCATATTGGCCAGGCCGGTCTCAAAAAATACAAAATTAGCTGGGTGTGATGGCAGATGCCTGTAATCCCAGCTACTCAGGAGGCTGAGGCAGGAGAATTGCTTGAACCCTGGAGTCGGAGGTTGCAGGAGCTGAGATCACGCTTTGCACTCCAGACTGGGGGACGAAAGCAAAACCGTCTCTCAAAAACAAAAACACATTTTTCAAAAAATACCTCTGTTACGGGTTGAAGCGTTTCCTCTCCAAAGTAATTTTGGAGTGTTTCCTCTCCAAAATTTGAAGTCCTAAGTGACACTATCTCAGAATGTGGCCTTATTGGAAAGAGGGTTGTTGCAGATGCGGTTAGTTAAGATGACGTCACAGAGGAGTAGGGTGGGCCCCTAATCCAACGGACTGGGGTATTTAGAAAAAAGGAACATTTAGAGATGCACACAGGAAGAAAAATGCCGCATGAAGACTGGAGTTATGCTGTCACAAGCTAAGGAATTCCTGGTAGAGAGGCCTGGACAGATCCTTGCCTTGGTGCCTTCATAGGGAGCATGGCCTCACTGACACCTTGATTTCAGACAGTGGCCCTCAGAACTGAGACAATAAATTTGCTGTCCTAAGCCACTCAGTTTTTGTTACTTTGTTACAACAGCCACAGGAAACCGAGACAGTCTCCTTGCCAAGGAGGCTGTTCCCATGCCTGGGCTGGAGGGTGGCCCGTTGCCCTGGAATCCCTGGCACAGTTAAAGCATGTTTTACTTCACTCATGTTGCCATGACAAAGCTAAGTTGAGTCCTTAGAGAAATGGATGTTTTTGTGTCTGGCTCACAGCAGTGTTTTCTTTGACGGTGATGATCAATTCTGAAGGATTAGAGCAAACTGAAACGCTTTAAGAAGGTAAGTGGTAGCAGGAGAAAGAACTAAAACCAAGTTGTGCAACCAAATATTTTTGTGTATGCTTTGTCCACCACAAGACCAGTGGAGTGCACAGAAAGTATACACAAGCAGCTGCATCCCTCAAAGCAATGCTCCCAAAAATACAGAAAATAAGTTTTAATGAGTAGTGGTCTCATAATATGAGAAAATAATGTCACAATACCACCTCGTAGATAATCCCTTAAACAAATGCTTATCTTATTTTGATGGCAAGCCCTGAATAGTTGACAAGTATCATACATTATGCATTACAATTAACTTAAAACATCAATTCCTTAAAGGACATTAAAGACAATTTTTGGAGGTTGGGAGAAACATAGCAAACTTGTCAGCAATTTATTAGGAACAGAAATTGGAAAGGACTGGGCTCTTTTCATGTCAAAACTCTATGGGTCTGGGCCGGGTGCAGTGGCTCATGCCTGCAATCCCAGCACTTTGGTAGGCAGGGGGTGGGCAGACCTGAGGTCAGGAGTTCAAGACCAGCCTGGCCAACGTGGCAAAACCCCGTCTCTCTCAAAAATTAGCCTGGCATGGTGGTGCACACCTGTAATCCCAGCTACTTGGGAGGCTGAGGCAGGAGAATTGCTTGAATCAGGGAGGTGGAGGTTGCAGTGAGCTGAGATCACGCCACTGCACTCCAGCCTGGGTGACAGAGCAAGACTCTGTCTCAAAAAAAAAAAAAAAAAGATCCAAATGGTTTTATTTGGGATGGTAATTAAAAAAATATATATATATATGGCGTATTTCCTTGTATCAGAAAAAAAAAAAAAATCTACAGGTCTAAATGGCAGTATGTTCTCAAGCCAAGCTTGGTTTTTGGAACCATTTTTGACAAGAAAGTCGGTGGCATCACCTCTGGTGCTGCTCTTGAACTTCCTGTGCACAGCCAAGGCGTCACTGGGGACGGGAGCAGCCTTCTGCGGCACTTCCTTAACCCAGCCAGGAAGTGCCGCAGAAGGCTGCTGAAGCGAGGTGCTGCAGACCCAGTGGCAGCAGGAGACGGGGGGAAGTAAGGGTCTTTTTTAACCCAGTAGGTCTTGATGAAAAACGTGATTCATGGAAACAGCCTGGACTTTCATGGCATTTCAAGGCAGCAACCTGCTACAGGTGAATTATGTTTTTATGTGCTTAAGCAGCAGTAATTCATGGTGGTGACATAGTGAACTGAGTATGCTGGGAAAGCCAGAGCATCATGCTAGCCTGTGCTGAATTAAAGGATGAATAAACAACTCCAAGGACATTCCCTGGCTGGATTCTATCAGTCTGTGGGACTCGAGAGCAAGCCTCATCTTATTGTGCTGGATTTCAGTTACCTCGGATCTGTCCAGATCTTCCAGTTCTAAAACCATATTATACTATATCATTACAATAGCATAAAAATTCTTATGGAATTTGAGGTCTCATACGTACTTTGGATTCGGCCTTCCCAGCTGGCAAAAACTCCATTTCAAAAACTGGATTATCATGGTGGCCAACAATTACAAAGTAGAAGCTCCCAGACATGGTCTTCAATATATGGCTCCTAATGAAGTGAAAAATAGTACATATTTTTAGTAGTCAATATTGAAATTCAAAAATAACTAATGGAAAGTGTAGAATTCTTCTTTTGTTTAATGTAAACCTGACATTGTAGAGGAAGATGCCATTAAGCTTGGCACGGTTTCCAGTATATTAGTGAAGATACACAGCTTCCAGAATAAACAAATTACATATCTGTAATATGTCCTGTAGAATCCAATGGATTTTCATGAGGAAACTGGAAGAGCTCTAACATGAAATCACAAAGATAACATTCTCATGATCTGAAAGTATGCTATCTTCAGCTGAAGGGGCCCTGATCTGGAGAAGCAAGCTGGGCTTCACTTGGACTGGACCAGTTAGTACCAGCACTGACACCAAGAAGGATTAACAGAGGGTGGTGGTAACTTAAGGACAACAGAGAGTAGTGAGAAGACCAAGGAAGTAATTAGCTTGCCTTAGAAATTTCCAGGAGGCATCCATTAGGGGAAGCTAAAACCAACTCTACGTCATGTCACTTACCTAGAAAGGAGAGACACTGTACCAATGATCTGCAGACTGCCTAAGCTGTATCTGTCTTCTTTCTACCTGAAGTATGTGTGCTCTAAATATAAGTCTTTGCAAATCCGAGAGCCTATGATATGCCTCTTCATACACTAATTTATAAGAAAGGAAGAGTTTTGTATTCTAGAAAAGATGGTAGAAATAATCCATAAAGGAGGGCCGGGCGCGGTGGCTCACGCCTATAATCCCAGCACTTTGGAGGGCTGACGTGGGCAGATTGCTTGAGCCCAGGAGTTCGAGACCAGCCTGGGCAACATGGTGAAACCCTATCTCTACAAGAAGCACAAAAATTAGCCAGGCGTGGTGGTGTGTGCCTGTAGTCCCAGCTACTTGGGAGGCTGAGAGGCTGATAACAGGAGGATCACCTACCTGAGCCCAGGGAGGTCAAAGCGGCAGTGAGCTGAGATCACACCACTGCACTCCAGCCTAACTGACAAAATGAAACCCTGTCTCAAAAAAAAAAAAAAAAAAGTTCAACAGATTGGCAAAAGAAAGAAAACTATGAGAAACTGGGAGAAAAATGTAAGTGATTCCATGGCTTTTAGCAGAGATAACTGAAATCTAGATGAATGATGGATGAGTGGGGCTATGGATGGATTTAGGGGCAAGGTAATCTCACCATGTGTGTTTTTAACACAAGGGCTTTGGAGTCAAAGTTAGGCTGAAGTCTAGCTCTGCTAACTTACTGGCAGTGTGACCACAGGCAGTCCTTAACTTCCTAATGTCGGTTTTTTCATCTGTGAAATAGTGATAACACTGTGTAGCACCTTATGGTGCTCTTATGAGGATCACACAAACTAATGCATGTAAAGTAACCAGCACAGTGTCTGACTCACAGTATGTGCTCAATTAATGTTATCTAGAATAACATGGATGGTCATATTGAAACTGGGATGTAGTGATTAATAACTTCCCCACGTGAGGTGCAAATTGAGTAAACCTGGAATTGTTCAAACTCCTGAAGCACACATTTGAGTTATGTTAGAAACCAAGACTCATCAAGCCTCACTGGGCCTTCAGGTGACTGATATACACACAATGAAATCAGAAGAAATCTGATATGTACTTGCTAATGAATGACACATTTTACAAAGGAAATCAAGGCACAGCTGGCACTTTTAAGTCTAGAATTGGAAGACTGAGTGTGGAAGAAAAGGCAGATAGTAGACCCTTGGCATGATGAAGTAGGATTTAAAATGCTTTTTGGGGCGGGGGTGGAGGGGTGGGGGACTATAGACTGCAGGCCAAATCTAGCCTTGCCCATCATCTTGCGACCATCCAAGGCTGTGCTCAGGCTTCAGTGGCAGAGTTAAACACCTGTGACAGAGATCAGCTGTCCCACAAAGCCAACAATATTTACTATCTGGTCCTTTAAAGAAAATGTTTGCCCCTGTTTTAGGGTAAAGATGAGAAAAAGATCCAAACAGAAAAAGTGGATAACAAAGACAAGCAGGAATGAGACAAAAGCTATGCAAAACTAGAAGAACTGGCAATAATTCTCCAGAGAAAGTAAAGGCAAGGATGGGGAGTTGAAATTTGAACAAAGTAAACAATGATATCATGAATTCTTGCTGGACTAGATTTCACAGCTGGAGTTTGCCAAGGGAAGGGCTTCTTACTTTCTTCAGCACATTTAAGCAGCAGCAGCAGCAACAGCAACACACACACACACACACACACACACACACACACACACACACACACAAAGCAGCAGAAGGAAATACATGTACATATATATATAAGGGGGATAACTTGGATCCCCACACTCAACCCTATATGGAAAGCCACGAATGGGCATGCAGCATAGTGCTAAGTCAGTGGGAAGACCGAAAGGGAACTCAAAAGATCGACTGCATGAGGGTGCTGTTACTAGCTACCCAGCTGGGCAGAAGATGAGACAGAGCTTTCTTTATATACATTCCGTGCTTGACTTGAGCTGTAATTACTTGATTTTGTAAACAGCTGAAGAAGCAAGAAGGGCTGTAGCTTTTCATGCAATTCTGCCAAGGAAAAACTGACAGGTTAAGTGGAAGAATTGAAAACCCTGGGAGAAAATGACCCCACTGTCTCAGGAGGGAAACAGCTGTAATCACTCAGCAAATACTTGAGGGTGTTGCGCAAAGGTGAGACACACACTAGGATTCTGCACTGTCCAATCTATGGAACTTGCTGGCGGAAATGTTCTACATATGTGCTGTCCAGTATGGGAGCTAGAGAGCATTAGAAATGTGGCTAGTGTGACTGAAGAACTGAATTTTAATTTAATTTTAATTAAACATAAATAGCCACATGTAGCTAGTGGCTACAGTACTAGACAGCGCAGGTCTAGATCAATGATTCCAAACTAGTGGCACGATCTTAGCTCACTGCAACCTCCGCCTCCTGGGTTCAGGAGATTCTCCTGCCTCAGCCTCCCGAGTAGCTGGCAGTACAGGCATGCACCACCATGCCCAGCTAATTTTTGTATTTTTAGTAGAGACAGGGGTTTCACCGTGTTGGCCAGGCAGGTCTCGAACTCCTGACCTCAAGTGATCTGCCCACCTTGGCCTTCCAAAGTGCTGGGATGACAGGCGTGAGCCACCATGCCTGGCCTGATTCCAAACATTTTATAGAAGTTGACTTCCTCCACCTTCCCTTCACTCACAAAACAAGTATTACTTAGAATTCCAATATATAATACAAAAAAAGCAATTGCCATGACTGAAGTACCTGCGTTGGCATGAGTATGTACGTATGGTCTGCTTGATTTTCCCACCGCCTTTGAAGCATCTCCAAGGAGGGCTTGGCCCAGAGGTGTTGAGGAGGCAGCTACATAGAATTTGGGAATAGATTAAACTGCAAAATTGAGGACAAGAGGAGACTCCAGGCTGGTTTCCAAATGTCTAGCTGAAGTGAACAAGCAAAATAGTGGCCCCTCTCTGAAGACGTCCACATCCTAATCTCTGGTACTTGTGAGTATGTTAGGGCTCATGGCAAAGAGGAATTAAGGTTGCTTATCAGCTGACCTTAAGATAGTAAGACTGTCCTGGATGTCTTCCCAATGTCATGACAAGGGCCTTAAAAGTAGAAGAGGGACACAAAGGAGGAAAGTCAGGGGGAAGTGACGGAAGAATGGTCATAGCAATGTGATGTTGACAGCTTTGAAAATGAAGGAAGGGGCCACAGCCAAGGAATGCAGGAGGCCTCTAGAAGCTGGAAAGTACAAGGAAACTGATTCCTGTTTGGACCCTCACTTGTGGTGGAAACAGCAGCTATCCTCAGTGGCTAGGGAAACCTGGGTTTTGAGAGGGAGAAGACTAAAGAAATCAACTTGGTGATTCGAAGCTCACTGACTAGCTTAAATTTAAAGAGACCACATATAAGATGTAAGAAGTAGCACACTAGTAATGTTCATAAAAATGGGACCAGAAATCAGCTAACATCAGAAGGAGGCCTACAATGAGTTGAAGTGTGTGATATATATATTTTTTAAAAAAAAGGCTTTTTAGGCTAAGATCAGGAAAAAGGGAGAAGGGTCAACTGCTTCAAGTGCTTGGTACACAGTGAAATAATGGAGGATGCTGATCTACTTAACTTCCATTTTCTCTGTTAAAATAAATGATGTTTCAAACAGCAAGCATGGAAGAAACAATGTTAGGCAGGCTGCGAACCTCAAGACAGGTATATTAAGAAAACATCTAGACATTTCAATAAATCCAAGCTGTCAGGTCCTAGCAAATTATATACCTTGGATTAACAAATGTGATTGCATAACTTCTGATCAGTGACATTTGAGAAATTGCAAGAAAAGTGCCATATTATCCACTAGGTTAAATGCTATTTCTGTTTTCAGAAACAGGAAAAAGGCTTATCTCCTAGTTTATAATAGGGTACATTCAGAGCGACTAGAACACCAACAGAAACATGTATTAAATGCTTATTTTCAGTCAGATGCCATGCCACTCTTTTATTATACATTAACTCATTTAATGTGAATCCTTAGATAAAAACATAATTATTCATTCACATACTCCTTATTGTACTGAGAACAAGTCATGCCAAACTTACATTTTTTGTTTCTGAAGGGAGACACAGCAGGTAAACAGAAAGTTATTTTCTGAAATATTTTGTTATCTATCTAAGAACAAACTGGAGACCTGGAGGCTGGTTGAAAATACACAATCTTGCTAGAATGGTGCCCTCCACAAGAGCAGATACACCATTCGTCTCATTCACTGTGGTATCCCTAGAGCTACAACAGTGTCCGGTACCCAAAAAGCACTTATTGTTTGCTGAATAAGGGATGGCTCATAGCTGACTTGAGGGTCAATACTTGGAGAACATTGTGTGGTCCATGTCAATTTATGGCACAGGGTCTCTAGGAAGGCTTTGAGGTTGATCTTAACCTAGTCTAGCTCAGTATTTGAATTAATAACTTGAATGAAGACAACTTATCACATTCAAAGATAACACCAAGGGCAGCTAATTTATTAGAAGGCAAAAGTTAGGATTCAAAAAGATCTCCATGTCTAGGAGAGTTAGGTGAAATTAACAAGATAGAAGTTAAGAGGATAAGAAAGAAAGCCCTGTAATTGGGCTTAAAAATCAACTGTATGACAACAGGACAAGGGAAAGTGGCTTAAGAACAGTTCATCTACATCAACCCAAAAGTTTTAACTTACTGCAAGCTCAATAAGAGGCAAAAGTCTGATAGGTTTGTCAAAAAAGCTAATGTAATTCTGGGTGGCATTAAGAGCAAGGTTGGGGAGAATGCTGACGTCCTCTTCAATAACATTATCATCTTTGGGGAAGGTACTCGGTTCTGGGAATCATATTGTAAAACGATCAATAACTGTTATGGGGAGGGGAGGGCAGGATCTAGGCTAGGAAATGCTCTGGAAAGGAGACAAGAGCAACTGAAGGAACTGAGGAGGTTTAAATGGGGTGGGGGGACTTTTTGGGGGTGGAAACTGAACAAGGTATAGCACAGTACTATCTTTAAATACAATAAGCTATCTAATGAAAAAGGAACTTGGCTGGGAATGGCAAATGAGTTTCCTCTCATGAGTGAATTCTAATCAACTGGTAGTGACTGCCAGGAACTGGTGCTGAGAAAGATTCTGAGACTAAGTGTGGTCAGCAGGAAAGAATGCTGTGATTAGTTATCCACGTCTGCTATGGATTTGGGGAAGTACAGTGCCTGCAGGAGGGCCAAGTATTTGCTGACTCTGGACTACACAGACTTATTCCAAACTGTTCCAATAGAACAAATCCAGTGCTGCTCATTGGAAGTCACTGGGAAACTAGAAACTAAGGAGTGGCTGGAACACCACCAGTGCCACAGTGGGCAGATGCTCAATGGACTTGGAAGTCCCTTCTCTTAAGTTGCAGGCAAATGCAAGATAAAACTCATGGACTCCGGTTCCAAAGACATCCATTTTTATAGTACACCTCTTTACAGCCTCTATAGAAGAGCTTCTAGAAAAACTGCCCTGTGCTCCTGACAGCAGTGGTTTCAGTTGTTCCATAGACCTGGGGTCATGAGACTAAACTGGTGTGGCATGGGACATGTCTATTGCAATGAGGAGAGGCAGTATGAATAATACTGATAGGTCTCTAATGTGACATTTTTCCTATTAATATTATAAGCAATTCTCCCAGCCTTAGAAGTTATGCTCGTCTTTGGAGAACACTTTATCTAATTATATTCATGTATTCAACTGTGGGACCAAAGGTAGGGGTGGGGGTGGGAGTGGGAGTGAGGGGGTCTTCAGGAACTTTAAAAAAAAGCAGCAGACAAGTGATTCTACTTAACAACATATCAACATCTTTTTAGAACACTGTTTTCATCATTGCATTATTCCACTCAAAAGCCTTGATGTGTCCCAGCTACAGGATCATAATGGATTCCCACATTGCTCCACACCTTTTCTCAGCCCTATTGTTCCACTTCTGCTACAGTTGACTCGTTTATGTTTTCTACCAAATTCACTTTGACTGTATCTACTTCAGAGCTACTATCATTTCTCTCTTCATGCTTGGAATGTTCTCCTTGATTCTACCTGCAATCTATACCCATTCTTTAAAATCCAACTAAGCCTCTCCTCCTCAATTATTTCCAACAAAAAACTACAGGTTCTCCACCTCCTATGAAGTCCTGTCACTCTTACTGCCTCTTAAATACTTAAATTTTTCACAGCCAGAGATCAAAACTCATTGTACTCATCTTCCATGCTGTACGCAAAGCTGACATTGATCCAATTTTGTCCTCACAGGTCTTATAAGGCTTATATTCCCAGTATACAACTCTGGAGTCAGGCTAGATTCCTCAGTGCCTCCATGAGGGTCCTGGCTTTTTTTTTTTTTTTAAAGGATTACTTTGCTCATTTTTCCCCCTTCCTGCGATGTTCTCCTTTTTGCTCACCACCCGAGTCCTACCCAGCAAGGCCATGATAAAAGTCACGCTTTTTCCAGACATGATCTGGATCACTTCCGTCTTCAACCACCTCCCCTTTAAACTCTTTATCCAATCTACAGTGTATCTTAGTTCTTGTTCAATTCTCTGGCTGTAACATTTTCAATTTTTCTTCTGAGAAGTTGGTTCCTTTTCTTTCTAATGACATTTAAGCATCACGAGGACTGTCTCACCTTTCCTCACAGCATACAACAGTGGGTATTCTAAAACGTTTACCTCTGTGGATCTCAAACTGGAGCGATCTTGCTTCCGAGAAACATCTGGCAATGTCTGAGGACATTTTTGGTTGTCCCATTTTGGGGAGAAGGTCCTACTGACAAAATAGAGACCAAGGATACAGCTAAACCTACAATGTACAGTGACAGCCTCCCAAAACAAATAATCTTCCGGCTCCAAAAGGCAACACTGCCGCCGTTAAGAAACCCTGGGTTAACTGAATGACCCAGTGAGCCCCAAAAGCAAAGCTCCCGAGAGGGCGGATGAGCCGGCAGAAGACTGGCAGGTCCCGCCCGGCCACCCCTAGGAGGGATGGAGGTACAGGACAGACATCTGCGTCACGCAGGGCCGAGGAAGTCCTCCAGGGACTCAAAACGCCCGCCCCCCCGACCCCCACCCGCTCCGTCCCCTACCTGCAGAAGAGGCCGACAACGGAAACGCAATGTCAGTTCCCGCGGCAGAGACCCGCGCGCCGCAGCCGCAGCCGGGATTCCCGGAGCAGTTCTCGCGATACCTTGGGATGTGCTCTCGCGAGATGTAGGTGGAGCTTCCGGCCGGTGCTGGGCAACCGAGCGCATGCGCCCTAACTCTCCAGACTAGGAAGGTTGTACTTAGTAGGTCTCCGGGAGTTGCTGTTGGGATGTGAGGTGGTCCTGCCTCGCCGCCTTCAGTCCCTAGTCTCCGGGTCCCCGCCCTCCAGCCACCTTTGAGTCGTGCCTGGGTCACGGTCCTCATCCATGCCTCAGAACCGCGAAGAAAGGAAGCTCGTGTGTTTGCTAGAAAACCTAGTTGGGAGAGCGGGGCAGGGAGTGTTCATCACCTTCGTTCCTCCCGACCCCCCGGGACAGAGGCAGGGCTCTGAGGGCAGGGATTCCCCCTCGTCTTGGCCCTACAGCCCGGGCTGGGCATTAAACTCGGGCCACGGCGGGGCGAGCGAGGCGGGCTCAGGAGAAAGCTGATGTCTGATGATGGCTCAGGTAGACACACCTGCCCCTTCTCGGGGCACGCGAAAATGAAGTCTTGTTTGTGTTCGTTAAAACTCCTTTCCCCGCTAGGCCTCTTATGGCTTCCCCGTAGGCCACTGGTCTGTTTTCAGACATTCTCCTTCCCTCTGCCCCGAAGGTAACCTGTAATCATTTTGTCTTCCAGTCCAACATGCTCCCCGTGGCTGATGTGTTGAGTCAAGATGAACTGCGCAAAAAACTATACCAGACGTTTAAGGATCGGGGTATACTGGACACACTCAAGGTATAAGATTTAGGTGTATCTGTGTCATAACTTTTACAAGTGTAACCTGTAACGGGTAGTTCACATTTAAATTCAATCAAGGTTTGGGTTTTAATCTTAAGATACATAGATTGTATTGGTGAATTAACGTTTTTATATTCCTGAATAACTATCCTGAAATATTACAGTCTCTTGAAAACGTTTGAGAAAATGTTGAGTTTGAGTTGTCTTCAAGGAGCATATGCAAATAATTAATTGAAAATAGGAGCAGGAAATACTAAAATGTATTATATAAATAAGATTAGGCTTGTATTGTAGGCTTACAGTTTCCTAAATTAATAAGTGGGTTTGTAATACATTTGGATGAATGACATTGACACCATATAGAAAATTACTAGTGTACTGCTTAATAATAGTTTGGGGAATGAAAACTTTCATCTTTAAACTATATTGAAATATGTGAATATTTAATTTGGGCAGCAAATATCTATTAGTATACTTTATATTTCGATTAACAGCCGGGAATAGGATTAGCTGAACCTGCTTTCATTGCAATATGCATTTCAAAAGCACATTTTACATTTAAAGTATGTAGTTAGATTCTGTGTGTATATCTTTTTTTAATTTATGTGGTGAGCATTTCCCTGTTTCCTTAAAAGTTTCTTGAAATCCTCATTTTCAGTGGCAACAGGCTTATCTTTGGATATTTTTGTAATATATGTAGCAGTCCCCTGTTGTTGAGTATTTTGGTTATATTTCTCCAATACTCCACAGAGGTGTGATGAGGTGGTAGAATTTTTTCCTGTACTTAATATCCCAATCGTAAGCTGCTGAAATGGGCTTCTAGGGATGTGAAATTATGAGTCTGCAAGCAGGTCTGGCTAACCACCAGTTTCACTTGGAAGCTGAGGAAGGAAAGCTTCTTCTAGAACCCACTGGGTTTCTACCCCGCTTGTCTTGCAGGATAAAACAAAGTGCACCGGGGAAGGTTCCTAACTTCTGGCCGTGGATCTAGAACCATTATGGAAATAAAAGGAAGGTTTCCAATGAATGTAACACATTTGTGTATATCTCTAGTGAAACAATCATGCTGAAATTTCTTTCTCTTGTGTTTCTTTTTTATTTGTATTTTTGCACTAGACGCAACTTCGAAACCAGCTAATTCATGAGCTGATGCACCCTGTATTGAGTGGAGAACTGCAACCTCGGTCCATTTCAGTGGAAGGCAGCTCCCTCTTAATAGGCGCCTCTAACTCTTTAGTGGCAGATCACTTACAAAGATGTGGCTATGAATATTCACTTTCTGTTTTCTTTCCAGAAAGTGGTTTGGCAAAAGAAAAGGTAAAGTCTTTTCTGTTTTTGAATTTTTTTATTAGCAGGTTCTTCCTATGCTGCTGACTATAAAATGCTCCATGATAGCTAAGTGCTCCTTGACTAGGTCCATTTCTCGTTCCTCTTTGAATTCACATCGCACCTGCACATAATATATTTGTTATATAACAAGTTGATACTAAATTTGAAATTAATTTCTTGCTCATTCAGTCTTATGTTAAATAGTGATATATAGAATCTCTAAATGTTTCAGACCTGTAATTGATCTCTCCTCCTTGTTGTCTGCCAACCCGCTGAATGTCTACAGTAAGATTGGCACTGTGATAGGCACGCTGCAGATGTTTTGTGCGTTGCAGTTGAGGAACCAGACTCTGGACAGGTGAATTAATTTGCCCAAGGTCAATTAACTCTTAAGTGACAGTAAAGGGTGGTAAATCTAGATCTCTAATGAGCTTTCTTTCCTGCACTAGTTTTTTCTCATGTTTCTCTGCTTTGTAATTAAGTGAGAAATACATAATTTAAAATGTTGTTCTCAAATATTAAGACTTGTTTTATTTTTTACTACTTTGCTGATGATTTTAACTATTATTTCTTCCCCATTACTGTTGAACATTAGTCCTACTTCATTATTTCAAGGCAGATACAGCAAACTTTCCCTGTGGATGTATGTGTGTGTTTTTTAATAGACTTTATTTTTTCAGAGCAGTTTTAGGTTCACAGCAAAGTTTAGTGGGAAGGACAGAGAATTCCCATATACCTGCTGCCCCTACACACTCACAGCCTCCCCTACTGTCAACATCTTACATCAAGGTGGTACATTTACTATTATCGATAAGCCTACCCTGATACACCATTATCACCCAAAGTCCACAGTTTACAGTGGAGGTTACAGTGAGCTGAGATTGCACTACTGCACTCCAGCTTGGGTGACAGAGCGAGACTGTCTCAAAAATAAATTTCACTCTCGGCGTTCATGTTTTTACTTTCTTTGTGTTTTCTATAAGTTTCATATTTCAAAGTTTTAAGGACACAAGAAGCTTAGTATAGCATTTGAATGAAAAATCTGCATTTCATCATAAGCAACAAAATTTTATTTATCAACATTAGGAAATTTTTTTTTTTTTTTTTTTTTTTTTTGAGACAGGGTCTTGCTCTGTCACCCAGGCTGGAGTATGATGGCACAATCTTGGCTCACTGCAGCTTCTGCCTCCTGGGTTCAAGCAATTCTCCTGCCTCAGCCTCCCAAGTAGCTGGGATTACAGGCGCCTGCCACCACACCCAGCTAATTTTTGTATTTTTAGTAGAGATAGGGTTTCACCACGTTGGCCAGGCTGGTCTTGAATCCTGACCCGAGGTGATCTGCCCGTCTCAACTTCCCAAAGAGCTGGAATTACAAGCGTGAGCCATCGTGCCTGGCCTGGAATTCATTTTGTGATACATCATTGTCTAACTTTGTAATCACTTCATACTTTTGATTATTGTATAATAGTCAATTATGTAATTATATAGCAGGAATTAATCCCATTCATACAACTTAAGTTTTTAATGTAAAATGCCCATGCAGAATATATTCTTTAAAGGAAAACCAATTGAAAACAAATCATATCAGTGTAGATATGACAAATCTATGCAGAGTAGACATAGTAAATGGTATATACTGTAGGACAAATATATTTTAGTAGCTACCCAAAATGTCCGTTTAAAAATATTTTAAGTACATTTTAGTGATGGTTGTAAGGACAGTAAAAATTCAGTTTATTTACATTTTTAAAAAATAAATACAAAAAATTGTAATTGAATGACCCAGGAACTCAGTCATGTATTCATTGGTTCGTCCGATATTTCAGTGTCATCTGTAAGGCGTTAAACATTTCTGTTAGGCCTATCATCTTTGATGCAAAGTACTTAGAAGTTAATTACATGATAAAGATATTTTTTTCTTTTTACCTTGGTATGTTTATAGTAATTTAACAGTGTAAGAAAGAGCTTTAATTTTTCTTATTAGCATAGTTATAATCTTATTTAATCTGAAGGATGTTTCTTAATCTCATATTCAGAAACATACTCTAATTTATTTAAACATTGATATAGAAATATGTCTAATTAGTAACCTTTTTTTCTTAAGATATTTACTATGCAGGATCTATTACAGCTCATTAAAATCAACCCTACTTCCAGTCTCTACAAATCACTGGTAAGGTTGCTTAGTTTCTGTAATCTACTTTGCTTTGTTAATTATAATTGAATAGCTGAAGAAAGGTAAAATATTTTCTTTTAACAGGTTTCAGGACCTGATAAGGACAACCAAAAAGGTAGGAGCCGTCATCTTTGTAGAGAACAACAACATTTTTCTATGTACTTTTTCCTCTGAAAGGATGAAGCTAATTTTTAGGGAGAAGAGTAAGAAAATTAATTTAAATTATTTGATTTCTGCAGGTCATTTCCACCATATTTTCATTTTTGTAATAACTTTTAGATGTTCAGATAAAACTGCGGACAGTATCAAAGGCCTTACAGACAGGCTGAAAGATACTATTAGTAAAAATACCCACTGTTGGGAACATTTCCTCAGGAAAAAAAAAAAAACTCAAAAAACTAATAACTTCTAGGCCAAGTTCTTTGCATACTAGGTAGCCCTCTCAAGTACAATTGATAGAGTATTAGATGTATTAATATTTCCTTAAAGAATGAGAGATGTGTTCAGTAATGTGTTATATATCTTTTGTTCTTAAATGTTTATACAGACCTGATAAATTGCTTTAATTTTGGACTTGATAATAACCTTTCATAGAGTCCATAACAACTGTGGGTTTCAGACCATTGGTTAGACTTGATGATAGTCTTTGTAGCATGATCATAAGCTGGCAACTTGACTTTGATGCATGGTTGTTCTTTAGGTCTTTTAAAATAATCTGTTAATACTGGTCCTTTTGTTTTGGTACACCCTTGGATTTTGTCTGTTGCCTGCAG